TCTGTTCTAGTCTGTTATTTTTTTCTTCGATCAATGTGCGTACGCTCCAGAAAACGAAATCAATCTCCTGTCGATCGTGGACCGAGGCATTGTAACGCGAGGCTGGTTTCAAACGTGTCGCTGATCGAACGAAAATTAAATGTCGCTCGTTTAGTCATTTAATGGGACTAGGCCATTACGATGCAGTGAAAACAGTTGTATCTAAATGACTCAGGTGATGGACCATGACCGTTGACTGTAGAATACGCATTGTTAGATATGGACTTCAACAGTAATTGACGATCATTCGAAAAGTCAACTACTAAAAACAGGGACAAATTCTGTTCTAACTTGACGGTAGTATAAATCTTGGACTTAAGAAGGGGCATTTATATTTAAATTTTTGCAATAAAGCATTGTGGAACGACAAGGGAGAAGCATATTATGCGAAGAGTTAAGTGGACTTTCAATTTTAATTTAATTTAATAGTTGGAATTTATATAATTTACCCTGAATTTGCAAATGGAAATAAATGTCCCTCCGCGGCGTTAGAAGCGTATAATGAGCCACCGGAGACTTACACAAATTTTCAAACATGCAACGTCAAACACATAATGCAACTATTATTTAAAAATCAGATGAGATCTCAGCTGAAGGATGTCCAGTGATTGTACAGAGAATATTATATTTAGATACTTGAAACAATATATCCAAAGTCTCAAAGACTTCGTCTGCCTTAGCAAATTCACGATAATCGTAAATGTTCGAACAAACACTCGGATCGTTACGCAGTCATTGTTAAATCTCTTTGCTTGTCGCAAATTATCAAGGATTTCACGAGCGGAGGTTGCCGCGTGCCACTTGCAACCGGGGTTGCAAGTTCATTTTCCGCCGTCAAGGTAAAGATGGTGAAATACGATCGCGGCGAAGAGAAGTGTTGTCGCAAGCAAGCCCGAAATAGTCGGCGGAGACGATTTCCGGTCTCGTTACTTTTCTCCCGGCTGCGTCGACGTCGATGGGAAAGGCACGACGGTGAGGCTCGACGGAGCAATTACTCTCAGCGATACCACGGGTGTTTAAGGCTCGTGGGACGACGTTATAGCCTCCTTCGGATAAGCTCCTTTCTCCTTAATTAACCAAAGGCCACCGGTATCGAGATGTAGATAAGGATTTCATCGCGTGGCAGGCTCGACCTTAATTTCACTGAAATCCCGCTCCCTTCCAGCAACGTGTCTTCTTCCATACATTCGAGTCTAATGACACTCGACTCGGCTATTCTTAGGCTCTCCCTTTTCGCCCGCGAAAAAAAAAAAATATTTCGCCTCCCTTTTATCCTCCCTCGTGTTGATCGCGATCGAAGATTATCCGTTGCGATAGGTCGACTCTTTCCTTCCTGTAATTTGTTAACAGTTTCTAATCGGGAGATTCAACATTCGCAAATATTTACGAGTAGATATTTTAGCATTATTCCTTAATCATTTGTCGCGAGTATGAAATTTTTACAGTTGAAATTCTCGTGCAATGTTTTATAATTTCGATATTGCCGACGCTGTCCCTGATCGGGAAAGGTTTCATTCACGATAGAAATTCTTGCAACTCTTCACAGTGTTCACCGCAAAATGGTTGCCGAGATCCACGAGTAATAGTTTCTGCTTTCCAAAACTTTTCACCATTCGTCTAGACCTAGAACTTCAAAACTCTCGTCCGTCCACGATCGACAGCAAAATAACAGATTAGCGACTCTTGAAACACGGTACAATACGCAGTGGAATCATATTTTAGAGCGCAACTACGTAAGTACATACTTACACTTAGCCACACGAGGCGCATGTGCGGCGTTTGCAAGCGTTTGTTTTCTTCCTCTTATAAGTGTGCCGTGAGTTTGGCCGTGCCAATCTGAGAACCGATCGTCGTTGCTGGTAATTAGACGACGAACGACTGGTGTGATCGGTGCGCAATCAATTTTCTACGTTTCAGCATCGACGAGGAGTCGAGCTGCGTCGGCGTTGTCCGAGCGAATCAGCACTGCTTGCAGAAAAATCACGAACGCGATTTTTCATTTACTGATTCTCGCTTCGATTCGCGTCGGTCGACCAATGGATAGTAGACGGAGATCGAAATTTTTGCTGACACCTCGACAGCGAAGAAGAACAACCGGGCATTCTCAGATTTTCTTAAACGCTGCAACGGAGAGCGTTCTGGTTTTCGCGCGTTGCGAAACTTCCACGATCGGGAACGCAACAAGTTTCGATAGTCGTCGCGTCCAATTCCGCCCGGGGATTTCGATTCGAGATGCCACGTTTCGCCCGCGTAGATGATTGAAATCGAAGAGTGAAACGGGGGCATTTTGGCAACAGAAAACGATGATCCAAGACGCGTCGCGTCTTCGCCAGAGTCGCCAGACTTAAATCGAAACAATACCGAGCACGTCGCGGATACTTTCCGATTTTTAACTCGTTTCGTCCCGAGATTTCAATTCGACCACGGTTTTTTTTTTGCCACGTTTACTCGTAGACGATTCCAAATCAAGGTAAAAATCGTGAAACGTTTGTGAAACCCAAGCGAGCTGCAAGAGGAACGAGAAACGATGATCCTGGACGCGTCGCGTCGCGTCGCGGTGTCGAAAAATCGCCATCAGCCGAGGCAACCGTGATGGAAAAGACAGAGAGAGAGAGAGACTAAAGAAAGAAAAAAGAGAGAGAGAGAAAGATTCTGGATCCAGCTTCGAGATCCTCGAACGAGAAGGAAACGTGTGCACGAGAGCACCAGAGCACCCCCTAAGTACGCATTCCGCCCGAAGGACCCGCATTTCGCCATCGATCCGCACGATTTCCTCTTCCGGTTACACTCGAACCGCCGCAATCTCTGAACGCGTTCTTCGCTTCTTTCTCACCTTGGGCTCGGTCTTTGCATGCTCGATCGTCTAATCGAACTGGGCCAGCACGGACAGCCTTTCTCGATAGGGAGAGAGAGAGAGAGAGAGAGAAAGAAAGGAGAAGGAAATTCTCGAATCGGGAGGAACACGCGAGGCCGACGACGTCGAGAAAAATTACCATACTTTTTTGCGTTTCCTTTTCTTCCCGTTTTTTCTTTTTTTTTTTTTTTTTTCTTTTTATCACGTCGAAGGTTATTATTTTTGTTGCCGGCTTTTCGTTCGCGTTTGCTCGCAGCGTGAATCAAGTCGAGCCGCGGGTCGCGGCCGAATCCATCGATTTTCTTCTTTGTTGCCTTCGCTGGTCTCTTGTTTTCGTTTTTTATTTACCATAGGCGAACAAAAGAGAGAAAACAACGGGGTTATCGTTGATCTTCTTCAATTTCGTTCCTGCGAAACAGAAATTTTATTTTCACGAATTATCGTCAACTTCATCTAACGATCGTGTTTTATTTTCGTCTAACGGGGCTGACGCTCCGCTTCGTTATTAATAAACAAGCAGATGAATAAAAATAACAAGGGGGAGAAACACGAGCGGCAAAACACACGAGAGAAAACCGATGGAGTTGGCGTGACTCGTAACTTAATCTGCATCGGGACCTCTTTAGAGGAAAACGTTTAATCGTTAATTATTTAACAAAATAAAAGCGGAACGCTACTTTCTTTCTCCACTCTGTTTTCTTCAATGTAGCAGGTTTGTAATTACGAATCGATGGACAGTTCGGAAGCATTGGCGTTTTGTTTGGCGTTTGGAAAAGGGCGGCGGTTCGACGAGGGCGGATAAGAACCGGAAAGCCTTCGGGCGCGAATGCAAAAGGAGATTATGCACCGCATGCTGTATTTTTGCACGAGCAACGAGTGTTCTTTCTTTTTTCTCTCTTTTTTCTTTTCTTTTCTTTTCTTTTCTCTGTCATAGACGTTTTGTGCACGTTCTCAGCCTGCTCGTATTTTTCTAATTGTGTCTGTGAATGCGCATGCCCGTCGATTAATCGCCCACCATGACTCTCTTACTCTCTGTTACTCGACTCACTACTCGACTCCTCTCTGCTTCTCTTTTTTTTCCGATCTAAATACTATCGAACGAACGCCGGATCGAATTTCCTCTAGGTTCTCTGCGAAGATTCGAGAGAGCGAGAAAAGAAAAGGTGCAAAACCGTTCAGGAATAATCTACAAATTACTCCAGCGAGGAAGAAGAAAAGAAGAATCGCCTCTCGTTCACTTTCCTTCTGTTTCTCTTCGACGACGTTGCGTGATATTTATCAACGTTGATAGGAACGTCGATGACGGAAACTCATCGTTTGTTAAGAAAAGCCACGTTCCAACTATAGCGCCTGGCCTTTTGACCTAACCCTAACCCGACTCGTTTTTAATTCTTCTATTTCAATCCTGAAACGTAAAGGAGACCTTTCAACCTTCTGGAAGAAGAGCCGGAGCTGCCCTTTAAACTTCGCAGTACGTGGCGTCGCATACGGATGAACACTTCGCAAGCAGCGCGAACCTACGAACTGTATACCAAGGGGGGTAGACTCTTCTGGTGAAGCGAATATTTTCGTTTCGCTTGGTCTGGTTCCGTGTGGGCCTGCGCCGCCGCGCAGGCAAAGATTCCAGGTAAAGATCAAGAAGAAGAAGCAACAGAAGGGAGTACAGAGTTAAACGAACCAAGACGTAATCGGAATCGACGAGAGACTTGGAGGTTCCTTTTGCTGCCGTTCCTTGCCAACTCCGACCGACGACAAACGGGCTAAGCAAACGCCCTCTCGCGAGCAGCTGCCTTCAATTCGAGCAACGATCTCTCCAGAGAAAGAGAGAGAGAGAGAGAGAGAGAGAAATAGCAGGATGAGGGAGAGATTCTTCTTCTTTTGCACGTCACGAAGTTGATCGGCTTTCGGTACGTCTGGGAGACGATAATGGTACCCGACAGAGAGTTTGTCGCTGGAGTAATTTGCGGGTTAATCCGAGGTTGATGCCACGTGTTTCCTAAAGAACAATTGCTCTTCGTTCTGACAAGCAATCGTCAATTTTCGCGAGTTCGATTTCAAGTTCGTCGAGAAGCTAACGGTAGGTACGAAGTGCTCTCGAAACGAGTGTTCAAAATACGGGGAAATGATTCGCGGCAGGTTGCCAGAACACTCCGTACGAACGGTTGGTTTCTTCGTCGCAGCTGATTTCTTCGAAACAGCGAGAAACACCGTGTGTCGGATTTCAGAACGCGTTTTTCACCAACCACCAACCAACTCTGACCACCGTTTCACTACCGTCACAAATCTCACCACTGTCACGATATCACCACGGTGTCACCACGACCACAAGAGTAGCACGTAGCACGCGAAACCCGTCCGTGCACGTGTACCGATGCGATCACGCACCCCACTCACCCCGTTCTCGTCCGCGTCTCTGCTTCTCTGTTACAGAGTTCCTGCCCTCTTCCACCTCCATAGACCTGTCGGGCACGGACTCGGCCCTGTATCCGTTCGACCCGCAGCAGGAGAGCTACCAGGAGATCTGGTTACCACCGACCAGTATGTACCCCTATTTTCTGTTCCCCGGGGCCGCGCGCACCTCGTACTACGACCACGAGAGCACGTACGACGTCCAGGAGCCGGGACAGAGGCGTCAGCACGGCCACCGTCATCAGCACGGCCGCCATCAGGAAGCACCGGAGTTGCCTGGCAGGCCCGGTGTCCTCGTGGTCGAAACGTACGATCCTCGTGCCGATCACGAGAACCGGCAGGAGGCTCGTGCTGGTACCGACGACGAGCATCGGCCTCTGTACAGGGAGAAAGATGCGGACGATCGTGAAATGGAAGGACCTGAGAGCTTCTATGATCGCGGCTCTTCTTCTTCTTCTTCTTCTTCTTCTTTTTCTTCCTCATCTTCTTCTTCCTCTTCTTCTTCTTCTTCTTCTCCTTCTTCTTCATCATCATCATCATCATCATCTTCATCATCATCGTCATCATCATCATCAT